GGTTTTTTGAGGGCTGTGCATTATAAATCGAATATAATATAAATTTCAATATATACACGACGTACAGTACATATACTTGCATTTATTATTTGTGTATGTATGTGTTAAATTCTTCAGCTTAAAAGCTTCTTGTGTATTTTGTTCTTCAATTCAAAAGCTTCTTATGTGTTTTGATCAAAAGGATCTTAGCAATGTTGATAAATGGACCTCAGCCACCTGTTTGTTTAAAAGAGATAATGTTTTATTTCTAAGTCGACATGCTAGAAACAGTTTCTTTTGTGTCGATAATTTGTCACGATTTAACAGTAGTCTTTGTTTAAATTTTCTCATTCTACTTGAAGGGAAACATTTATTTGTGTTAAGCATTTAATCTATACAATGCTGCTCACCCAAAGCTTTCTCTGTTGTTTTTCTACATTTATCTGAATTATGTGTGTACAAATATCAGATAATAATATTTTATAGTTGCAGATATAATTAAGCTTGTAATGAGACATCATTTATGTTAGATGAATCTACAGTTTCTGCATTAAAGTCTGTTTTACCTTAGAAAAACTGATTACAGTCGCAGGTTAGTATAAACCGCATAAATTTTGAAAACGTAATTTGATATAGATTTATTTCTGGGTAATGATCAATAAAAAATGTAAAATTTTTTTCTACGAAATATTGATCGTATTTAATTTTCTTTGCTTTGTTAAACCTTTATGAATAAGATACTTATGAGAATTACAGATTTACTTAAGGATCATAATGTAAGATATGATGCACCTTTAATTAATATTATAGAATTAATAACGGAATTTCTAAGTCTTATAATATGTAGAAATTGTTTTGTACGACTATTTTATTTAAATTAATTTAATATAAATTACTTTTAAAAAATATTATTTATTTATGCTTTCTTGTTGGAAGTTGCAAACATCCTAATTATTAATTTTATTTTTTAGTAAAACTGTTTTATGTAATCAATATACTTGAAATTTTTTATAAGCACTTAAGTTAGATTTATTATTCTATTGCATAAGTATATAGAATCTCATTATATTTATTTGAGATTTCTTTTACACTCCACTCGTAATAGTGTAACTTGCAAACTCATAGCGAACTTATATAAGTCCAGTTCAGTAAGCAAACCTTACCTAGACAATAAGATACTGCATATTCGGCTCTATCTGTGACAATTATTGAGACTTTATTAAAAAGTACTGCGTGTGAAAATTAACTGCGTGTAATATTGCATTGTACCATATTATCAATAATAACAAATTTTAATAATAATATCTTGTGAAATGTTGTATATTTGATTAATAATTGGGCTGAAATTTGGAAAAATTTGTAGACCTATAAATTCCCACTCTTGTCCGTCTGTCTTTCTTTAATTTCTAGAACAGAGTTAGATAGATAAAAGACGAGATCAGATATGGAAACCTTAGGAGCAGTTGGTCTTGATTAATTATGTAGCGACATGCGATACAAACCGGAAGTCATGTTATTTCAATTCAAAAACTTTCCCTGTAAGGTGTTAAGTAGATGACCAGCACGACTCTATTGTTAAAGGAAAAGTATGATGTGGGGCAAGACACTAATTTGAGGTGGCGAGCATATATCTTAAATTAAATAAATTAAAAATATAATTAAAATTTCAGCCCGCCATTGTGACGATGTCACAATAAATATTTATTCGTTTAATATTCGATTTAAATCTGAATAGTCGTCAGATCAAAAAAGTTTACAAACAATCAATTTTTCTCAATTTAATGTCAAAATACTGTCCATGATCTTAAATGCTATTTTTTATGTTTACGTATTCTCTCTGCAATACTAACAAGAAGTGATATCATCAACCCCAAATACTTTCTTTCAAGTGATGTAAAACTATACAAATATATTTTCTTGAGATACAAGAGTTATTTAATTCAGCATCAGATTCCAGAATTACTAAATTTGTTTATTCACTTTATAGCGATTCAAAATATTTTTAAAACCATGTTTTAATTTCGGATAGTTAAAAAAAAATTTAATGCAGTTATGAAGAAATTGACTTTATTATATTAGGTTTACATTGAACGTAGATATCAATTATACAGTAGAAAAAAAGAGAGAATTCTAAAATAAATTCTATATAAGATGTTCAGTTTCGTTGAATAGAGTTATAAACGGAGTAGCAAGTAAAATCGTTTCGTCTATCGATTTTATAGACCTAATCATAAAATGTACAGTTTGACATTTAATTTCATTAATGCAACATTAATAAACTAAAGGTTACAGTGTTACTTTTATCATTTATTTTCAAATCAAAATGCAATTTAAAAAGTTTTACCATTAAAATTAATTATTAGCATTAAATAAAATAAATCAGAGAAAACAAGAAATAAAATAAAAGTCTAAATATACTAAATTATATCAATAAAGTTAATTAAAACAGAAAAATTCGCTGCAGCCAAAATTTAATGACAATTTTTTGTCATTTATAGAATTTTGTCAAATGGAAACAACACTATAAAGATAACAAAGTGATGATTTTTATATTAATGTTATAATATGATTAGGTAGCTTATGTTTTATGACATTTCAAAACGAAGTTATTATTGCAATCTGTTAAACACATTGAAAAATCTTTATGTAAATAAACGTTACAGTTACTGTATTTGATTCATATAACATAGAATGCAATTTTATACAATAACTCTCTTCTAATGACTACAAAGAATGAACGTCAGCATTTTTTAATATTAATTAACGGAAAACAAAAATTATTCTTTATTTTTTTTATTACTAAATCATTAAAATCGTTAAATTTTTATTAAAACTTGCTTGTTGAAGAATATTTTATAATTAAAAAATTTGAAAAATATTTTAATATTTTATAATTTAACATATTTTTATAAAGGTGCAGGTCAAAACAGGTAAATTTTTGGAAAGATATTTAAATATTATTTAATATAGACAATCCTTTTTTGCGATTATCTACATCTAGATATTTAAATCAACACTTGAAAAATAATATCAAATTCCGTTTTTAATAAAATTATTTTTTAACAATTACAATTGTTAAACAATTATAATCTGTCTTTTATAGGAAGTTCACAAAAAATAAAATATAAAATAAAAAAAATAATTGAATCAAGATCATCAATCATATTATGATTAATGTAAATGGTTTGTCTTATTTATTTTATAAGAAAATAGCTAAATAAATTAGATTTAGATATATAAATGTATAAATATAATACTATATAAATATATTTTTTTCTAATATAAAATATAAACTGTTATTAATATGATTTATGCAAAGAATATTGGCAATTGAATATTAAACTCAATTTAATGCCAAAAAATTACAATTTAGTAACCAAATAAAATAATAAATTAAAAATAAATAAAATAATATTTATGTTAAGATTTGAATTTAAATCAAAAATAAGGTTCGACGCATTAAACCCACATAGAAAATTACACTCCTGTTTTATTTAGCGTATTTTATTCAGTAATAATGACACAAATTGCATTTATATCACATCAGTGAATTAGATCAACTTTTTTTTTATAAATCAATATATTTCCTGAATTTTTAATAATTTAATATTTATATTTACACACACACACACACACACACTTTTTATTTACACTTTTTATACACACTTTGAATTATAGCGCTATTTATTTAAAGCCCTACAGAAAAAGAGAATTCTTTTTTTAAAATATTCATAAATTATGATATTATAATCTAAAATTTAATGCTTTTAATCTCTTCCTAAAAAATGTTTTTAATACTTGAGGATTAAAACAAGAAACATTAAATCAAACTGCCCGATGGTCCTAGTCTTTAAGCTACTTTATTTCAGAAAATAAACAAAATGAAAATAATAATTTCCTTTTTTAATTGTTGATTTTCATTTTTCTTTTGGATAACTGTAATATTTAAGCATTTATAATAATGCGAATTTTAAATGTGATTGATTGATTGGTTGGTTTAATGGATACGGCAACGCAACACGTGTTCGGTCTGCCAAGAGGAGATGCCTCTCGGGAAGACTTTCTATAAAAATGTTTTCATTTATATAGAACTAATTAATTAATTAATGTATTTTGATGAACGGAAACTTGTGGACAGGAAAATGACATAATTTTTTATTTCTGGTATATTTTCCTGTGATGTAAAAACCAGCCTTTTAGACACGTAAAGAAAACACGGAAAATTCTACGTTATCGAGGTGAGGGGCAAAGTTATTATTCTCATCATATCACAAATCAAGAAAAACAAAAATCAACGTCATCAATGTTTTCTTTTGGGTTATTTTGCTTCCTACTAAAACACAACAAACAAGTGAAATATTTCTTCCTGTGGCCAAAGAAAAATATCTACAAAACAACAACAGAAAAAATCACAGATAAATAAATTTGTTTGGAATTAATTATTTTGTTCTATATATATGGAATCTTTTTTCCATACTTCCATTTACTAACTTGCGAGAAATTCAAAACTAATTTATATATTAGGACCTAATATTTGATTAGTTTCTAAGATATAAATTAGTTTTGAATAAATAGAGAAGATTAACGCCGAGAATTTTCATTTTTTTTTCAAGAAAAAATAGAAATTAGATATTTTATTGTTATTAATTTAATAGTATTTTTAATTCTAAAAAACGTTCGTCCAACAGGAATTTTTTGCTTTTAATCTGATATGAAATATGACAATGTTGCTATAATAGATTAATTATAAGAAATATTATTATATTTATTTATATTTGATGATTTCATCAAAATACGACCATGTTACAATTAATGAATGAGAGAAATTGTACAAAGTAATTCAGAAATTCTTCCACAATAGCTGCTATGGCAGCTATTTGCGCTTCTATGTCGTGTCATCATGCGCCATGTTGAAGTACGCGTAATAATAATAAATATACGAATACATGAACAAAAGAAAAACAAACACGTTATATTAAAGAGAAAAAACCAGTTTGCCGTTGCATAAAACAATAAAGAAAATTTTGTATTCTTGGAACCACAAAAGATTGCCATGTCAAAGGTTTTCTAGATCAACCGGTATATTGAAACTTTTAAAATTGTTATTACAATTTAAAATTATTAATTAATAGCTAAATAAAAAATTTATATTAATTATTTTTAATAGACTTATTAATTCAATATGTATCATAAAATAATAATGAAATTTTAAGCTTAATTATTAAAGATCATTATTGAAGATTGACAAAACCTAAATTCATCAAAGCTTAAAATTTTATAAGATAAATAATTATATTATAATCTATATAAAATGACTACTGTTGCTTAAAAAAATCAAAAATACCAAGTCTGATTTTGTTTTCTTCGAATATCTTAAATTTATTTGTTATTTTTTTAAATTAAAAACACCACAAATTTCGAATTACATAATACTTTAAATTATATTTACTTGTATCTTTTCCTGTTAGAGTTCTTCACTCTCCCTTCTTTTGGACTTGAAAATTAATCAAGAAAACATATATTAGAGCTTTAAAGTAAGTAAAAAATTAATTTTAATTTCATTTAATCGGCTTAAAATAATAAACCAGAATTTTAGTCAATGATAAATTTATGTTTTCTAAATTTGAATTATTCATAACATTATTTACATATGATAATGTTTTTTGAATTTAATTTTTTATGAATGGTTTTAATTATAGATCTTCAGCTTATTTCAAGAAAAAATAATATAACACCAGCATTCTATTACGAAAGTTTAGAATTTATAGATTTAAATTAATCATTTTACTTATTGAACTGCATACATGCATGCAATAATAATGTGAAAGGTAGGATCAAATTTAAATGCTAATACATTTTAGAATTAATGACTATCAATTATTTACTCTAGCAATTAACATTTATTTTAATTGATGAAAAATGTATTATATTTTCAATATTTACCAAATAATAGGCATATAATTCATATATTTTATGTAAATATTAATTTTCAATTGTTAAATTTACCATTAAATATAAATGTTTTTTTTAACAGAAAATTATTTATATAATTATACTAAAATTATTTTAAAGAATAATTAATATATGTAAAATCTAATTTATTGAATAATCTCAATAATAAATAATAAACAATTTACATTTTAAAACGATTTAAATAATTTGATTTGAATTTCTTCCAGAAACATGAAATTTTTCATTTTGATATTTCATATTTCTCACAATGCCGAATGATTACTGAAACATTAGCAGAATTATTTTCATAACAGTGGATCCTTTAATCAAGATTTGTGTTTTTATTATTTTATAAAAATTCTCTACATTGCTGACGTTGTTAAATAATAAGGATTAACTATTTAAGCATTAATGCACTCATTAGAAAATTCTCAAAATGAAAATTCTTGTTCAAGTGCAAATCTTGAAGAAGAATGTAACAGCCCAAATCAAAGCGAAACTTCTAATTCTCAAAATGAAACTTGTTGTTCAAGTGCAAACCTCGAAGACGATTTTAAAAGCCCAAATCTTCAAATTGAAATTTCTAAATCAGTCTGTTCCGAAACAGTCACAATCACTGAAGCCATACAGTCTAACAATGAAAACAAGTTTTGCAACTTAGAAGAAGATGAAATTGAAAAAGAGAATGTCCCAAACTTAGAAAATACGTTAAATGAAGAATTTCATGCACTCTCTATCGAGAATGAAAATACTCCTACACCATTGCAAGAAGACATTTCTCCTGCAAAAACCCCTATTACAGTAGAAGAAAAACGAAAATCAAAATCTAAAAGAAAACCACCATTAAAAGCTAGCTTATTTTATAATGTACCACCGACAACATATTTTGGTACATCTTCAGAAAGAATTTTTCCTCTACCAAGAAAAGTTCGGAGTTCTTTGTTGTGGAAGTTATCTACAATTACCCCAAAATTAATAACTCAAACGATTTCCCGATCTGGATTTCGTTTGACTGAAGATATTCGTTGGATAGCGACTTGGGGCAAACACATGAGATGCAATGAGTTTAGATTTATAAGAAATACTCAGAAAATAAATCATTTTCCCGGTTCTTTTAATTTAGGAAGGAAAGATCATTTGTGGTTAAATATAGTCAGAATGCAATGCATACACAATGAAGAAGAATTTTCTTTCATGCCCGATACTTACGTTTTACCGGAAGATTTAATAAAATTACGCCAAGTTTGGAGGGAAGAAAACAAAATTTTATGGATCGTCAAACCGCCAGCTTCTGCTAGAGGAATTGGTGTCGACGTTATATATAAATGGGCACACGTGCCTAAAACACATCCAGCCGTTGTTCAAAAATATATATCTCGTCCTTTTCTAATTAATGGTAATAAGTTTGATTTAAGAATTTATGTCTTAGTTACGAGTTTTGACCCGCTAAGGATTTATGTATTTAAGGAAGGATTGGTTCGATTTGCATCAGTGCAATATTCTCGCTCGGTTAGATACATAGGTGAAAAGTTTAGGCACCTCACAAACTATAGTATTAATCGAAAGAATTCTTCCTATAAAGTCAGCGAAGACAAAAACTTATTCGAAGGGCATAAATGGTCTCTAAAATGTCTTTGGGATTATTTAAAAACAAGGGACATAAACACCGAACAACTTTGGTCTTCTATAATCGATATTGTGATAAAGACATTACTTAGTGCTTACGATCCTATAAGCAAACTAATCAAATATTACATTAAGAGTAGATACTGTTGTTACGAATTATTTGGTTTTGATATTATCTTTGATGAAAAATTAAAACCTTGGTTATTAGAGGTAAACATCTCTCCTAGTCTCCATTCGAATTCTCAACTTGATATAGATGTTAAAAGTCAATTAATTAAAGACATGTTCAACACCGTAGGCTTCCAAATTCCGGATGACATTAATATTACTTCGGAAACGGAACAGGAAGTATTGCAAATGTGCAACATCACACCGAAAGAAACAACAAGACTTTGTATAAATCATCATCTTCATCACTCACATTTAAGTCACGAGGAAAGAGTAAAACATATTAGATTCGAACAAAATTGGTGCGAGGAATCAATTTTAAAAGACTTAACGGGTGATGACGTGAGACGTTTAATAGAAAGCGAAGATGAATTATCCCGATGTGGTCATTTCATTCGCGTTTTTCCATCCGAAATTTCCTCATCGTATTTAAAATACTTTGAAAAACCTAAATATTATAATTTATTACTCGATGCATGGGAAAAACGCTTTCAAAATGATAGAAAAAGTGGAATCGACTTTCTACAAATGATGTGCGAAGTGGGTATCCATCTTCATCCTGGTAGAAATCTAGAAGAGAAAAAAGTTATAACTTATTCTAAATCGCCATTGTCTACCATAAATAAGAAATCAAATAAAAACTCCATATTATTATCTAGAGTATAATCCGTCGAAAACATTCAGAAAAATCAATTCATTAAAATTTCAAACNCCCGGGATTTCCCGGTATCCGGAGAAACAGTTCACTTTTTTCCCGAAATTACGGGACAAGCAAAAGACCTGGAAATGAGAAACCCTACTTCATAGGATCAACAAATGAAAATTTTGGTATAGGTTAAACAGTTTTATTCAATAATATTGATTATTAATGTAAGATATTTGTTCAAAGGTTTTAGGATAATTTATAGAATAGATACAAGAAAAATTATTAGTATTTCTTTTTTTTTCAACTATCTTTCAGTTGATTCTTTAATGCAATTACTATTTCTCTATATTTTACTCTCTCTGCTATGTTGCTTTCAAATTTGTGATGAGCTCATAGGATTTCTTGTAATAGAAATTATTCTTATATTATCAATAAAAGCACATTTAAAACAAAAATAAAATAAAAATAAAGAAAAGCAAACGTTGGAAACTAGAAAAAATGACGAATCCATATTTCAACACAACACTTCTTTAAGGTTTGAAAGTTGTGTAAAAATAACCTATGTGATTTGAAGTTTATTAAGGTTGTATATCAAGTAAAGATATTCATTAACTANTTTCCTCATCGTATTTAAAATACTTTGAAAAACCTAAATATTATAATTTATTACTCGATGCATGGGAAAAACGCTTTCAAAATGATAGAAAAAGTGGAATCGACTTTCTACAAATGATGTGCGAAGTGGGTATCCATCTTCATCCTGGTAGAAATCTAGAAGAGAAAAAAGTTATAACTTATTCTAAATCGCCATTGTCTACCATAAATAAGAAATCAAATAAAAACTCCATATTATTATCTAGAGTATAATCCGTCGAAAACATTCAGAAAAATCAATTCATTAAAATTTCAAACGAAGAATAATAGCGTAATATCTAATTTATATCTTTTCGGCTGTTGAATTTATCTTATTTTGATTTTTTTTTAAATTTTTAGTGAATTTTTAATTTGTAAAAAACAAAATTTTTAATTATAAATTTTTCGTTATGTACTGTATAAATTTACATTGTAATTGACGAAAAATATTCGTGAACAAATGAAATTATAGAGGAATACTTTTGATTTCTGCTTAATTTTGCGTATATCATGAGAAAAAAAACGAAAAGCTATTTGAAATTTTAATGAAATATAACAGCTATAAAAATAATACAAATTTTTACAATTAAATTTTTGTTATATTTTTGAAATATATAAATTATACGAATAAAATAAAATGTAATTTATATTGTAAATTATATTCAAATTTAATATTTTTTTATTTTTAATACTGTATAATTCTTCGTCGTAGTAGAAAATTTCATTTCGATATTATGATTTTGTAAAGTACAAAAGTTTATTATAAAATGTAAAAAAAATTATTAATTAAATGTCATAATTCTATGCTTTTCTGTCATTTACTTTAAAAAATAGTTATAGAAAAATTTATATTTAAATTTTTAAAATAGAGTTAAAAGTTAAATACGAATGTTAGATTTCACACGATGTATTCTTTTTCTTATGTATTTTTATACCTGGAAGATGCATTTTTCATATTTTTAAAATGTATTGAGCGTTTGTTATAAATAAATTGATGCAAATATTATTTATTTTTTTATTTTTTAAATAATTACATTCACACAAAAGCAAAAAAATAATAATCTGTATTAAATTTATTGACGAAAAACATTTTTAAAATGAATTTAAAACAAAGATTCCCTGCCATACACAGTGTTTTCAATTAATTTGGTAGACTTTATTGTCTTTGTGTTAGTATTACATTGTCTTTAGAATATTAATATGCTTTATCTTAGTAAAATATATTAATATTCTACAGATTTTCTGTGCACATTTACGTGATCTTTTTAGAGTATGAAATTTATGTAGTATGCAGTTGTTTAAATTTATTTTTCTAACTTAAAATTTGCTTCGTTAACTGATTTGCCAACGAGAAAATTGTTTTATTTATTTAAAATATTTATTTATTTATTATTATATTTATTTATTTAAAATACAATAATAAAATATTCAAAAATTTTAATCTGATTTTGAGTCCTTAAATTCTGTCCTATTGTATTCACGCAAAAGATTTAATCACTGAATGTTTCTATGAGAATGTAGTCATAATTCAAGCGAGTCTGAAACAGTTCTATGAATATAAATTCATTTTAAATAATTTTTTATAATAAAAGTTGAATTATTCCGGTTAAAATATTCTGGCACAACGATAAAAAATTTCAGAAATATTAATTATTTTTTAAATAAAAAACAAATACACGTTTATTTTGTGTGAAGGAGAAAGGATTGGATTCAAATGATGTAAAATGTTTTTTCTGCAATAAGGAAAATAAAAATAACTGATCATGAAACAACGTTTTTACACGGATCTTCACGTTGAATGTTTTACTAATCATCCAATATTTTCTATTATAGCTTATCATCGTTAAGACATGAAATTTGTGACTTTTATTTATATCTTTATACCTGTAGAATTTCAAACCTTCTTAATAAGTGTTTCGGTTATTATAAAAAAACGCTAAACTTTCACTCTCCTAACTGTATAGTACGATCTCAAAACTTGAAGTAGAAATGTAATTTTGAATCCTCCTCTTTACCTTTTTTGTACTGATGAAGAGCTTTTTTTCTTCTCATATCGTCAATGCAGATGTACCACGCAATCTGTTTTAAATATCTTGAAGTGTAATAGTTATACTATATTCGTTTTGTTTTTCTATCGCCGCTTTATTTGCACTTTGACATTTATTTCTAGAGAAATTTTTGTCGACACGATGTCTTTTTGGGATGCTGCCATTATTTCTTTTTAGCCATTTCTGATAAGAATAATATTTATGGATCGAACAGTAGATTGTTTAATATACATTAAATCAGCAATTTATCAACACTATCTTATATACTTATTCTACACACAATGTTTAGGCCTACGTATACTAATTCTGACTTATTTCTTTTAATTTCCTAGGTTGTTTACTCATGTTTTGTTAAAATTAACTTATATTATGGAAAATAATAATTAATTTCTTTTCGAGCTGTTAGTGGAAGCGCTTATTATTTATGTTTTCGACAAGAGTTCTAAAGGAGGTTCTGTAACTCTCTCTATTCTTCACTCTAAATCCTTATATAATGCCAATAATAGATTATTTTTTATTATGGATCTACTTTAGTATTCTGATTTGTTATGAATGAAGCATGTTTTTCTGTTTTGTTTACTTAATCTTAAATGGTATCTATTTAAGTGTACTTCACATCCTTGAAATTCTATTAAATATCCGTGAACGATTTATTATATAAAATAATTATAATCTTAGTGTTTAGTACATTNTGTCACTGTATTTGAACAAAGATGCAGTTGCTATTCATGCTTGTTTTGCGATCAGATGTTCATCTCACCTGATGGTCTGTCTGGTCATCTATAGCCTGCTTACAGTGTGTTTGCGCCGAAATATCCACCATTAACAACACCTTCCTAGAGTTAGGTCAGAATGTCCCAGATGGCAGTTTGATGAAACGGCCATTGGACCCAGCCCAATAATGCAATTGTACATGATGTCTTTGATAGTGTTGCGCAGACATGCTTAGCATTTGAAGACCTCTAAACAACAGATATAGTGAAGTCTGAACATAGTAAACTTTTGCAAGCCGTTTTATAGGATACTGGGGTAGCAATTTTGAGGTACTCTGATGGCATTACCTGGCATGCAATCGAACCATAAACGTATTCACTTACAAACCTGCCTGAGATACGGGGTATAGCTGCCGAGTTTTGCAATAATAGAATAACTCTACCCGGGTGCGTACTATTTTTGTCAATGAGTATATAAACCGATCAATAATTTTTAAGATTTACATAATATTTGATTTGAACATGATCCTACGAAATAATTTAAATTTATATTTAATGTATAAAATGGAATATCGGTTTTTATGGATCCATTTTCTACGAGTCCAGCCAATCACAGCCCGGCACGTGTGCAGTTTACGGACTACGGCTGTTTGAAAGGTTTCTTCCATAAAATTAATCGATTCTAAACTAATTCGACTCAACATTTCCAAAATACGTATAATTTTTTGGGAATCCATATAAACTATGCTATAAACAAAAAATTGTAGGATTAATTACCGAGCGTGCACCGTTCGACGGCGCCATTGCTTAAACTTGTTTTCGTCGTGGAGCATGTCGTCGAATGGCGCTCGCGTGCTTACTGATAAATTATTTTTTTTGCGAAAAATTCGCTGAACTTTGGAGACATCATTTATATAAATATAATTTTTATGGACGTTAAATGATAAATGTAGTTCCGCTGCTCGTTTAAACTCAGCGGTTTGTGCAATATCCGCTATTGGTCTAGATTCGACCAATAATGTCGCGACACGAGTCGGCGATGACGTTTTATCGTATTATAGGAGTTTTTTAGCGTGTTTGTACGAATACTGTCGCATTTTTTTCGCCGTAATATAGGAATCCGAATTATAGGAACCCGTGTTATAGGGGGGTCTACAGTATATTGGCCAGAATAAATTAAAAATATTTTTAAATTTTGCATAAAGAAAACATACACTAATCTAAGTGCGTAAGATACCTTTGTTTTCGTCAGATTAGATCATCAAAGCACACTATTTAAACAAAAATATTTTTGGTATTTCAATTCGCCTAATAGATATTCATCTACATCTTTATAAAAAAACCCGAAAAAGTTTTCGAACGATAACAGTATTAACCAATATTTTCTCGATTTCAGTTCGTTAACATTCCTATATCGATTTCATTATTTTGATTCTTTCTTATTCTGTTACTTAGTATTATTAGTTTTTTTATCCTTTTCGATTAACATCTCGTTTCGGATTTCTGATATTATGATATAATATGACAATTGAAATTGTTTTCTTCTTCTGTATCCATTAAAAGTATAAAATAAAAATTAAGTGACGGTTTTAATTTTTAATTTTTTAACAGACAATAATCTTAAAGTAAGCCATTTCTTATGTAATTCATCAATTAAATTTCGATTAAATTAAATTTTTCTTAGTATTTTCGGTATTTTTCGGCCACATTGCCAGTCTCGGTTTCACTCATTACAAGTGAATTAAAAATGCAATGAGATGAATCAGAATGAATAAGGAAGGAAACAAAACTGAAATTCAAATTATTGTCAACGAATTCAAGTTGACTGAATTTTCTCTCTCTTCAGAGTACTATAGATTATAAAATCGACTTCAGTCTTTCTCAGTAATAATTATATCTGACCTAACTGCAACTTCCACTCTAGATCTATCATTCGTAGACGGAAGAAGCTGGCGTTCTATCTGATCTAAAAATTTTCGATGGACGAATCTGGAGACCAAGCAAGTGTGGCAATGTGAAGGATAAATTCTTGGGAAACCCTGGCTGTGTGTGTGGCCAAACATCATCACGCTAAAAAATGGTTATTTGCAGCCATTTCCCACTGTATGGGAGGCAACACACGAGGGCGCAAGATTTCCAGAACAAACCAATTTGCCGTCAATGACTCTCGTACAGTTACTAACTGTGACTGACTGTCATACGAGATGGTTTTGGCAGAACGCTAGCAATGGATGCTGTGTATTATTCAGAGTAAAGGCGGGATTAAGCGCTCATCAGTGGTCGTCTGATCACAAACAGAATCTGGATTCGTTGCTAAAGCTAATACATTGCCAGCTCGTAGCAACCCATGCTTCTCTGTCACAGCATCATTGCAAACGAAGCCGACAAAGTTGGAATGCTAATAGCAGGACGTGTGGCCGTCGTTGCACTTGAAATTTGCCTTGGCATTGCCTCTGCCTATGATAAGGACAAGGTTCTGCAGTGAAACTTCTATCTGTCACTGTATTTGAACAAAGATGCAGTTGCTATTCATGCTTGTTTTGCGATCAGATG